GTTTTCTTTTAATTTTGGGATGAGAGTATTTGCTATATAGCCGTAAAAAACTTTTGATGTCATCCATCCCTTTTCTGACTTACCAACGCTCCATTCTTTATTAATTTGACTAACGATTTCAGATGGAATTCGTGCATATGGGTATATAATCAAGGGTGGTAATATGGTACCAGATGCTGCAAAGGTTCCCAGTACGGTTATGTTCTCCTTCTCTTTTTCTTTGATTTCATAAACATTTTTAAATCCTCGCGGACCTAACACTAAATCAGAAGAAGGGCTTGTTTGAAATCCGGATTTTTTTAGCAGGTCGGATGAATTAAAATTCTTCGTTTTTTGTTCAACATTTGAATAAAAAACGAAAAATATTTGCCAAAAAATTTCAAAGAAAATTGACATAACGTACCAACGTCGCATCAGAACTTCAATAGTAGACTGTGGTTTGAGAGGTCAATTAAAGTATGTAAACTTGTACAAGTGTTGTATTTCAAAAAGTAAGTTGTATGTTACGCCTTAAAACACAAGTGTTGCTTAATTTTTAATTTTAGAGTGTAGTTCTCAAACAACCGTACAACTTAGGTCTTTGACTTTTCTTAGTCTCACCCTGTATGTATGGATGTGTTTAGCCACATTAATTTTCATATGGCAGATAAACCAGTGTTGCCATATACCGGGTGTCCCAGCGTCCCTGTTCCACTCAAATATCTCAATTATTTTTAAACATAAAAAATTGAAATTTGGCATGTTGAATATACATAACATAGTCTATTAAATGGAGAGATGAAATGAAGTAAGTTTTGTTTTTTTTTTATACAAAAGCATGTAATTTTTCAATACATCAAATAATACTCTTTTTTAATTAAGATATACAGAGTGAGTCAGAAAAAAGGTAAAAACCAAAGTTGTGCGGTTCTTTCAGGACTATATGCTCTAAAATTGCGTTTAGCTCTCCAGAGTGTTGTGTTCTGTTTTTACGGCGCAACACACAATTTAGTTTTTCTTTCAATAAAACACTCTTTATATTTTTAGAAATTTTGACTGACCTCTTCCTAGGCTTTACAACCACAGTTTATTTTTCAAATTCTAATGCCACGTTGCCACATTATTCCAGTTTTCTTCACAAAAAAAATCGCAGTTGGGTTATTTTTAAAGTCTGTGTTATAATATTTTATGCAAAGATAAATAAATGTATGCACTTTGTTGTGGTATAAACGGAATGACATTGTCGCATACAGGGTGTTTATAAAAATGTTTGATTATGATAATTTCTAAATATCAATATTTTAGTTTTTTTTCAAATAGAACACCCTATATTTTATTACTGCATCTGTTTTTGTTTTTTATTATTGAATTTTTTTACTTTTTTAAGACACATCGATGGATTATAATACTGAGAACAAAAATATATAAATAAAATATGTTCTTTCTGAAAAAACTAAAACAACTAAATTTGAAAATTATAGAGTTTTTGAAACATTCTGTATTTTTAAATTGTGATTTAAGTGAGACCACAAGAAAGCGCATAGTTTATTTATTCTTCCACAAAAGATTGTAGCATAGATATAAAAAATAACTCTGTTGCGAATTTTTTTGTGAACCCTTCCATTGCTAAAAAAATTCAACAGAATTGGAAATTCATGACAACGTCGCAACAGCATTTAACAAGGAAATTATGGTTATACAGCGTAGGAAATAATTGCATCTCACATTATAATGACTGGTTGCTTATTTAGCCAATACTCGTAATGCATTGACACTATCATTTTAAAACTGAACGTACCCCAAAATTACCTATGCTAACACATAGAAACTATACAAAAACGCTAAATAAAGCATAAAGTCAAACAATTTATTAAATTTTGCAGGTGATCTAGCACTTATAAAAATTTGTGTCTGTTTCACTATCTGGTGCAGGTTTTTATATATCTTATTTATAGTTTCAACTTGTCCGTTTTTTGGTGTATTCGAATTGTCATATACACTGCGTTTCAAATAAAATGCACCACCTAGAAGGAGTAGGCGTAGAATGTTGAAATTTGGTGGAGAAGACTGTTGCATATGGACAAACATTTGATTAAAATATGAAAGAAAAACTACAATTTGTCTAGATAATATACCAGATGTTATTCGATTTTTATTAATTTTTTGATTATGTTTTAAAGACACTTGAGAAAGACTTTTTTGCAATTTTACTTGACGTTTGTCATTAGTGCGCTTGCAAAAATGCTACGAGTTCGCACACGAGGTAATTTTCAACAGATAACACCTATTGAAAGAGGGCGAATTATTGGGATGCATGAGGCTAGTTTACCATTTCGGGAAATCACCAGAAGACTAGGCCCAACGCATTCTACGATATTAAGAACAAGTCGAGACTGGAACAACGAAGAGCTACAAATGCGTCGCAGGGGTACCGACCGTTTCAGAATCACCCATGAACGCGAAGATCATTTGCTAAGAAGAAGTGTTATTCAATACCCTTGGTAACCATAACGATCAGTCGGGATGGACTGGATGACAGCAATTGGGCACAGAATCCGAGGAGTACCATCTACCGCCAAATTCGTTCCTTTGGCTTGAGATCTTATCGTCCAAACTACAAACTTCCCTTACCACAAGAACACAAAACTACCAGGCTTCACTGGTACCAAGACAGGCAGCAATGGCTGTAATAGTGGAATGTCATAATGTTTAGGAACGAGTCTAGGTCATGTTTGTGGCACTCTGATGGACGCATACGTGTTCGAAGGCCTCGAGGCCAAAGGTAAAATCTGGAATTTCTACAGAGACGTCATATTGCTCTAACACCTGGAGTGATGATATGGGATGGTATACACATCTGTTGAAGTACCCCTTAGTGTTCATTCCAGGCACGCTAAATGCCCGGCGTTACATCGTTAACGTGTTAAATCAATTTCTTTTTCCTTACCTCTAGAACCGTCGAAGAACATCTTTTGAACAAGATAATGCGTGGCCTCATGTGGCCATATTAACTTAAAGAGTGTTTGACGAAAATAACGTCAACTTCTTACCCTGGCCTGCCCGATCACCAGATTTATCAACAATCGAAAATGTTTAGGATTTAATGCATAGAAGGCTGCGCAATTTACCACATCCTCCAAAGACTTTGGAAGAATGTCTACAACAAATTCAAAATGCCTGGAATGAGATGCCCCAGCAGGCAATAGATCATCTCATTTTAAGCATGCCTAGAAGAATACAGTCTTGTATTCGTGCACGTGGAATTTTAACCCATTATTAACATTTCTTGTGTTAGACATTTTATTTTTTCTTTGAAATTTTAATCAAATGTTTGTCTACGTGCAATAGTCTTCTCCACCAAATTTCAACATTCTACGCCTACTCCTTCTAGGTGGTGCATTTTATTTGAAACGCAGTGTATTTTACAGAAGTAATTTTGCAACAAGGTAATGCTCGTCCTCATATCGCTAACATGAGTTTAGACTTCTTGGCCGAAAATAATGCCAATTTTTTGCCATGGTCGCCACGGTCACCTGATTTAAATCCAATCGAACTTGTCTAGATAAAAGACTGCGTCGTTTACCGTATCCTCCCAATACATTAGATGGATTACGTATACAGTTGCAGACAGCCTGGGACACGTTGCCTCAAGAAGAAATCCATCCATTTTTTGTAAAGAAATATTATTAGTTTTTGTGTAAAATTTAATCAATTGTTTGACTTTATGCCTTACTTATGTCTACACGTCATATACCATAAAATAAGTCAGGTTTAAGTGATGTTTTTGAACAATAAACTAACATTTATTATTTATGACTTACTGAGGAAGAGTTTTGAGATGGATCATTCATTTCGTCGACATTTGTGCTTTTCGTAGTCTGTAAGTTTTATTACAAATAGTTTTATTTAAAAAAAAATGTATTAATAACTTACGTTTGTCATCTTGAATTACAACAAAATGTTATTATAGTTATAGCATGCTATTTTTATGTACCTGTGGGTGGAGATCATAACTTCATATCTATAATGTGTATAATTGGTTGCCTGATTTTCTCATTTTTAATTTAAATTTATTAAAATACTTTGCATAATGCTTAATTATCATATTTTTGTTATTTTTGTCTTTTCTATCTTCTTCCTTTTACGGTTGTTTTGTTGTTTAAAACATCTCCATCCCCTTTGTGTCTGTTCTTCGTCGACGCTCCAATCGGAACATTACAACCTTTCTTCTAACTTTCCCAACTTAACTATCTCTTTCTCTTAGCTTCTTGCTCTTTTCACACTGTCCCTCTGCAAGTCAAACCCCTAGAATAATTGCAGATTTCGCTTATCTAACCTAGAAAGCTGGGTACTTTACCAAATGTAAAATGTGTCATTCTGCCATCTTTGCACCTCACCACTCAATAAACACGTTTGACTGGTGTTAAGTAAAGTCGACTCTATATACGGGACACAAAAGATCGAACCAGGACGGTTCCATGGTAACGAATGCGGTAAAATAGAGAAATGGAATAAAGTGTTAAAGGAGGTCGCTCATATTATTTTCACATTTTCACTCCGGTAACCACCCATCAGGGGAATCATAGCGAGGAGACAAGTAGTTAATGCTGTAGTTTCGGAGTTTTTTTCTTTTCTAATAAAATTGAAATTTACAAAACAACTTTATTATCAAGTTTACAAAAACCAATCACAAAAAAGGGTACATTTAATTTTTAAATTATTCCATTTTTATATAGACAATTTGCGCCCCCATACCTTGTCCATGGACACTTCTACTCACACTCATACCACTTATACTTTTTTCATCCACATGATGCGCATTTATATGTCTGTTTAAGTTAGCTGTTGCCAAGATTCCGTTGGACAAATAATTATGATGATAAATTTCAAAATTTGACTAAAAAACCTCGACGACAAAGTGCATAAGATAGAGAGAGGACAAGTTTTACCTGGGTATTTCCACCACTATACTTGTTTGTGACTAATTCTGTAATTATTTTGTTCGGTACGATGTTTTAGACTTACGGAATTTCATTTTGCTCTGTCAAAAATTTAGTGATTTCTTTAGCAAAGTTTTCATTTTTACTTGCGTAATCCACCGGCAGTTGCCCATCACCGTCCCGAACCGTCACTTTCGCACCATTCGTTACCAGGAATTTCACCAGATCTAAATTTCCATGTTCACAGGCATAGTGAATGGGTAGTCGACCATCCCCATCTGGAGAATCCACTTTCGCACCTATTTCTATCAAAAATGGTATAATTTTGTACCAATAAGCGTCATTTAAACACGCGTAATGCATGGACAGCCGACCATTTCCATCCGGAGCATCCACTTTGGCTCCATTAGTTACTATTGACTCCACTTCAGTCACAAATCCATGTTCACAAGCATAATGAATCGGCAGTCGACCATTTGCGTCTGGGCAATCTACTTTAGCACCTTTTTCGATCAGCAATGATATAATGCTCCAGCCGAAGTAAAAGTGTTTACATGCATAATGAATAGCTAGTAGACCATCTTTATCCGGAACATTGACTTCCGCACCATTCTCTAGCAGGAATTCAACTGATTCTAATTTGGCATTGACACAAGCATAATGAATCAGTAGCCGACCATCTGCGTCGGGGGAATCTACTTTAGCACCTTTTTCGATCAAAAATTTTATAATTGTAAAACCGTAGTGAAAATTTTTACATGCATAATGAATGGGCAAGAGACCATCTTTATCCGGAGCATTGATTTCCGCACCAATCTTTAGCAGGAATTCTACTGTCTCTACATCTGCATCGCCACAAGCATAATGAATCGGTAGCCGACCGCTTCTATCCGGAATGTCCAGTTTCACACCATTAAGGATTAATAAACTTAAAGTCTTAATTAGGCGGTACTCAGATGCAAAATGTATCAGCAACTGACCGTCCGAATTTGGAACATCTAATTTAAACTCTTCTAACTCTAACATAAATGCAAATATTCTCTCCGTTTCCATTAACGAAACCCGTAAATCCAAGACACAGTCCCATTCGAAGTAATCTTTTTCTTCGGAAAATAGTTTGTTCAGAATTTTCTTCGATCGATTATCAAGAGCTACAGCTAAAACACTCCTTGTACTAATATTACTGTATGTGTTTTTTAACGGGAGAGAATTTTCGATGCACTCAAAAATCATTGAAAAATCAAACCTAACTGAATAGTACAAAACTACTCCTAAATAATCATCAGCAAACTGATTCCCGTCATACAACGGAATCAAAAATGGCAAGAAAATCAGCAACTTTTGAAAACAGGCACTAGTGGAAGAACTAAATTTGATAAATTTGGGCCCTACGTCACGATAACTTAGATAATAATAATAATAATAATAAATTTATTGCTCATATGTAACAGAAGTACATTAAAGCTCGTCAAAAAAAAAGTTATATAATTGTTTAACATATAAGATTGTACACAAAACATATATACATATATAGATTCACAAACACTTAAAAAATGACTACATTAAATTTCCGTTAGCACAAAAGTTTATAAACTCGCTAATACAGTAAAAACTATGTGATTGCAGCATTGTTTTGATTCTACTTTTAAAGCAATTTCTTGGAAGACATTTGACAGTGTATGGTACAGCATTAAACAATTTTACAGAGATGAAGTTTACCGACTGTTGTGTCTTTTGCAAACGGCAATAAGGAATAGTTAATTGACTGCGATTTCTTGTATTGTAGCAATGATTGTCAGAGTTTAAAAAAAATTTGGATTGATTATCAAAAATATAGATTAAAGTGTAGTAGATAAACGAACAAGGCAGTGTTAATATATTTAGAGATTGAAAAAAATTTTTACAAGAAGTTCTTGAACTAATTTTACAAATTATCCTTAAGGCTTTTTTCTGAATTTTAAATATTCGTATGGCACTAGAAGATACTTTTCGACCTTTTCATTTTTAAACATCCAATCTGGGTTAAAATCGCAATCTTTTAAAGCTGTGTTATTTTTCGCAATCGGGTAATTTTTGGTCCATGCACAAGCCACTTCCAAAATGTCTCGACCAATGACATCTTTTTGCTTTAAATCTGCCTCAGTGAGTTCTCTCAAAATCCCAAGATTTTTGTAAATAACACCTACGAAACCTTTACACTGTAATTGTTGTCGTCGAATTACTAACGGAAACGGTTTTAGTACAGGTTTATTTACAATACCAACTACAAAAATGATAACAAGGCCCAAGGTTGTATGTGTATGTCCACGTGGAGGTCTTGAAGAGGAGAGGACGTCTGTACACGGTGAGTGGTCGGAGAAGAAGAGAGTCTGTTTTACGTTTCCACCGTGGCGTTTCCTCTTTAGGCTTGCGCGTTGTAACTGCCAATCCGGAGGCTGCATTATGTATGTATAACTGGTTGCCTACTTCCAGGCGGCCACAGTAGTCCCCTCCCAGTGACTACGTTTCGTAGTCGCGGAATTTCACTGGTGGCCTGGCTGTTCTTCCTGACCTTGTAGTGGTGCTCGTCGACGCAGGTGTTGTCGGGACCTGTTGCGTTGGGGGCTGTACATGAGGCGGAGTGCAGGACTCTGCCGATATGAAAGCCGGTTTTACTCGGTCCAGGCTCACTGTGGTTTCTCTTCCATTCATGCTTATGACTATCACCTTGTCTGTACGTCGTAATACGTGGTGTGGTCCGGTGTATGGTGGTTGTAACGGCTTCCTGACTGAGTCATCTCTGAGGAAGATGTGGGAACAGTCAGACAGCTCTGGGTGTACAAAAGTCTTGTGGTGGCCATGGTGGGTTGCTGGCCTTGGTCGGACGTTGCGCATGTGGAGCCTCAGCTTGTCGACGAAATTGCTGGGGTCGACTTCTGGCTCGTCGTTTGCGAAGAAAAATTCCCCCGGGATTCGTAGTTGCGTGCCGTAAGTCAGCTCGGCTGGGGAACACTGAAGGTCGTCCTTGATTGTTGTCCTTAAACCTAACAGCACCGTAGGTAGGATGTCGTACCAGTCACTGGTCTCGTGGCACATGATGGCGGCTTTGATCGTTCTGTGCCACCTCTCGATCATCCCGTTGCACTGTGGTCGGTATGGCGTGGTTCGGCAACGTTTAGTGCCCAAAAGGTCTGTGAGGGCGGACATCAGTGTGGCCTCGAACTGCCGGCCTTGGTCAGTTGTAATACGGTGGGGGCAACCGAACCGCGCAACCCAGGTTGCGTAAAAGGTTTTCGCCACCGTCTCCGCCGTCATGTCCGTCATGGGAATTACTTCTGGCCATCGGGTGAACCTGTCTGTCATCGTGAGGCAGTACCGGTGTCCCTGTGATGGTGGTAATGGCCCAACGATGTCCATGTGTACATGTTCGAATCGGCATTCTGTAAGTTCAAAATGTTTTAGGGGTGTTCTAGTGTGCCTACTTACCTTTGACCGCTGGCAAGGAAGGCATTCGCGCGCCCATTTTTTTATGTTGCGTTCCATGTATGGCCACACGAAACTTTTATGTACCGCCTTGAATGTGGCTTTGCCGCCTGGGTGTGATTTAGAATGTACCATGTCAAATACCCTTTTTCGTAAGTGGAGGGGTATGTAGGGGCGAATTCTCCCCGTGGCTGTGTCGCACCAGATCGCCGTATCCGAGTTCATGGGTGTGAGATTCTGGAGTTTCAAACTGGTACTGGAATTCAGCAGGTTTCTCAACTCCAGGTCTTGTTCTTGGGCGGAGGCGAGTTCGTCCGGGTCGATCACTGCTGCCGTGTGAACTTCGCTGATTCGGGATAATGTGTCCGCCACCACGTTGTTTTCGCCCGGTATGTGTTCTATCTCCGTAGTGAACTGACTGATGAAGTCGAGTTGGCGTAGCTGCCTCGGGGAAGCTTTCTCTGAGTTCTGTTTGAACACGTAAATCAAAGGCTTGTGGTCCGTTCTAACCGTGAAGACTCTCGCTTCTACCATGTAGCGAAAGAATTTGATGGCTTCGTATATCGCGAGCAGTTCGCGGTCGTACGTGCTGTACCTTCGTTGGGTGTTGGTCAACTTTTTTGAGAAAAATCCCAGGGGTTGCCAGTCGCCTTTAACCTCCTGCTCCAACACAGCCCCCATGGCTGTATCCGAAGCATCGGTGGTCAATCTTAATGAGGCGTTCTCGGAAGGGTGTGCTAGCAGCGCAGCACTGGACAACTCGCTCTTGCACTGGCTGAACGCTTCTTCCGCCTCGTTGGTCCAGCTGATTGGCGTCTTGTCATTTTTTTTCGAATTTCGCAGATACACATGTAGAGGTGCTTGGATAGATGCGGCATTTTTGACGAAGCGACGATAAAAGTTGATCATGCCGAGAAACTTTCGTAAGTCCTTCACAGTTTGCGGCTTAGGAAACTCACTTATCGCCGTCACTTTCGCGGTTGCTGGACGGGTCCCGTGAGTCGAAATGCTATGTCCTAGGTACTCCACTTCGCTTGCCCCGAACACGCACTTTGCTGCATTAACCACGATTTGGTGTTGCTTCAGTCTTTCAAAAAGCGTTTTTAAATGTCGCACGTGCTCCTCTGGGTTCGCGGAAAAAACTAAAATATCGTCTATATATGCGAAACAAAAGTCTAAATCGTTGAGCACATTATTGAGGTGTCTTTGAAAAGTTTGCGCGGCATTGCGTAGGCCAAAAGTCATCACTGTGAACTCAAATAAACCGAATGGCGTACACACTGCAGTTTTTGGGATGTCCTCGTCGGCCACTCGAATTTGGTGGTAAGCACGTACCAAATCTATTGTGGAGAACACCGTTTTTCCCTCTAGTCTGGCCGAGAAGTCCTGGATGTGTGGTATGGGGTATCTGTCTGGGATTGTTACCCCGTTCAGCCTCCGATAATCCCCACAAGGACGCCATTCCCCAGGATTCTTCTTCTGTACGAGGTGCAGTGGGCTGGCCCATGGACTGCTGGAGGGGCGACACCACCCTTGCTCCAACATGTACTGGATCTCAGCTTTGGCAGCCTTGAGTTTCTCCGGTGGTAGTCTGCGTGGTGTTTCAGCTACAGGAGGGCCGGTTGTGTATATGTGATGCACTACGGAGCTGGATATTTGACTTCCCGGACGTGGTGCTTTCGTCAATTCCGGGTATTCCGCCAGCAGGTTGTGGTAGCTGGAGGTTTTTGCCACCGTCGTAATACGTGGTACGGAGCAGGCCAATACGAAACCAGGGGAAGAGAGATGTGTCAAGGGGTCTACCAGCTTCCGGTTTCTCAGGTCCGGTAGGAGGTGGTAGTACTCGAGAAAATCGGCCCCTATTATTGGCTTCTCGACGTCCGCGAGGATGAAAACCCATTTAAAAGTTCTGCGTAGTTTCAAGTCAACCACCATGAATTTCTGGCCGAACGTGCGGATGGGTGTGTTGTTCGCTGCAAATAGGGCGGGTGTATCTTGTGTCTGTGACTGAGCCTTACCTGAAAACGTTTTCGGCAGGACTGAGACCTCTGCTCCGGTATCGACTAGGTACCTGATACCGGATTTGGGATCCGTGACGAAGAGACGATGATGACGCGCGTCGTCGTGTACCGCCTCGATACCCGACGGCGCCTCTAGTTTTCCGGCTGTACAAACGTGCAGGGTTTGAAACACTTTCGGGCGTTTACACCGAACTTGGCGTGGTAATAACAAACGCCATTTTGATCCGTGCGTTGCCTGCTGTGTGTCCTTGACCGATTTCGGCTGTCATTTTGCCGTGCTTGTGGACTGCGCCCTCTCGTGTTGGTTAGATGAGTTACGGCTACCGATAAGGCCGCCATCTGTTTCTGGAGGTCTGCAATTACCGTAATGAGGTTAGTTTCCTGCGTTGGTACGATGGTGTTCTGCCGCGTCGTGTCGCTGGTGGCGCCTATCGCGTTGATACTGGAAGCCATAGCGTTGCTTCTGTGTATTTCCGCCAATTTGTCCGCGATTTCTGCCATCTTTTCCAGCGGTACTCCCTCGCTCGCCGACAGCACGAGTTGGACATGTGGTGGAAGTCGCTGTAGCCAGAGCGTTTTTATGACTTCGGTATTCATCTGTTGCCCCGCGAGTGCCTTCATTTCGCGGAATAACTGGGATGGTTGTCGGTCCCCTAGCTCCATCTCGTTTATCAGCTTGCGTAGCTGCTTCTCCTGTGAGTCGGTGTAGGCGGCTATCAGTTTCTTCTTAATTGTGTCGTACCTCTCTTT